AAAAACAATTTTTGAAAAATACTAAGAGTAGCTTATTTTCAGTAATAACTAATTTTCAGAAATATATAGTAATGCTTTATCGATGGCTAAAAGCGTTCGCGATCAACTTAGAGAATTAATGGCAAAACATGATCTTCCATTGATTTCATGTCGGCTAAAAAATTATCAAGTCAAAGATGATGGTGATAGACACAAGAAAAAACGAAGAAATTCTTACCAAGATATTAAGTATAATGCTGAGAAAATACTTGAATCATTTTCTACTTCATATTATATAAATTTAGCAAAAAGGCATCCTCACCGTCCGGTATTTTATCACTACGCATCAGCCACCGGTCCTGGTAGTGAGAGTATAGATTCAAATTCGTCACTGTTGGCGTTACATATTTCTCCTACATCCGCGTTACATCCTGATAATAAAGTAGTTAGGGTTGATGATTTAGATTGGGTAACTTATCTTAGTGTTTTATACACGAATAAGGCTTTGATGAAGGTTGTTAGCAAGGTTAAATTAGAATGGGTACAAGAAAGATTAAGTTTATTCAAAAAATTAGCAACAGCAAATTTGGATGGGTCTTATGGCAGTAATAAAAGTGGAAGCAATATTCTTGATAATATGAACGAGGACAGTGATAAAGTGAATTCAATGATAGCTGATGCGCAGAAAGTGAAGGATCAAGATGATGAGAAAAAAAGAAAAAGATTAGAGGCCATTGAAGCTGCAAGACAAAGAGCATTAGCTAGAAAATCCGTTACCAATGAAGATTAACATGAGTTTGTGATATGATAATTTTTAGTTGTAGATTATGCGATGCATATTTATGCTGGACATTTACGTCCCATGTGATTTAAATAAAATTAATGTTTTTGATTGTTTTGGACATATTAATAAGCCGGCCTTTTATATAATCAATTTATACTTTAACACATTTTTTTCTTTCCTAATTCTGCGATTCTAATTATAAGCCTGGCATTTTCTAGTTTCAATGAATCTATTTCGGATAGGTCTTTAATCTCGAGTTTGCATAATATTATAAAACTTTTAACATACTGTAAATGTTTGGAAAAAGAATTTTATGGTACGCGTCTTGGAAAATGTTTTGTTAATGCCTTTAATTTCAATTAAAAATTACTTTTCAAGAAAAAATTTAACATCAATATCGATATATCATAATAATTCCGAAATCGCATGCAAAGTAAACGTGATTATGTATGCGAAATTAGCTAAGCGTAATTTACTTAGTGCCAAGTGTTAATTGTAATCATACTAATCGCTAAGCGTTAAGCATTAAGCATTACTATATATTTCTGAAAATTAGTTATTACTGAAAATAAGCTACTCTTAGTATTTTTCAAAAATTGTTTTT